ATATATATCTATACACATATCTATGTAAGATAAAATACATTAATTACATTTTTTTTAACTTTTTAAGATAGAAATAAGATGTACTGGCTTGGCTTCTAGAGAAACTCAGCAGTACATCCAACCATCAAGTAATGGATACAAACAAATACAAATATTTTCCTTTTAACCTTATTTACTCAATGTGAGAGTAAATTTAGGTGCTGAGTGATCAGACTCAAGTTCAAGTGTCTTGAACCAAGGTCTGCAAGAACTTCGTGTATCTCTAGCCATATATGAAAGAGCTTTTAATGCTTATTATATCCAATGTCCTTGCTTATCTGTAGGAGTTGCAGAAGTTTTTAGAGGAAGGCCTAGGAAGAAACTTGGATGCTCGATGCTCTTCATCGGTCCTACAGTCCATTGAGCAAACTCAGACACAAATGACCGGTATACCTCTTTCTTTATAAACTATATTTTGATCTACTAATTATAATGTTAGTTTTAAGCCAGTAGAACTGATTATTTATTACTTGAATGGTTTAGTTTGGTTACAACTGATGGGAACCAATGTTTTTGGGCTGAACCAAAGATATCTTTGTGTCCCTGGTTTTATTCCATCAAACTGCTCTTCTCTGTAAAGTACAGGTTATAGTACATGTGCACTTTAAAAAGTCCAGTACACAGTACAGCTTTTCGAGGTGAGTAGGTGGTTACCCCGATGCACTTGTCTATACATCCCCTGTTGTGGACAGACGAGAGTAGCTGGTACCGGTTGACTGGGTAGCTCAGACAAAGAGACCCTTAGGGGAGAAGAAAGTTAATGTAGGAGCTAGTCCAAACTTTGAGTGCTTTGAGACTCTGGTGTAAAGCGCTATATAAATTATACTGTTGTTATTATTATTGTTAAAGAACACAGTACAAAGGGGTTGTTTCATAGTGTATTACTGCAGGGGCAGATTTAGAGGGGACCAGGCCGGCCCTTTTGAAAAGTTAAAAAAAAAAAAAAGAAAGAAATAATTGATCACCCAAAACGCCTCAGAGTATATTTTTGGGCGTCTAGAAAACAAAAAACAATCGCGCTGGCATGCCCCTGGACCCCCTACGGTAGTTTTGACTTGATCTTCCCCACTTCCAGCCCCCACTTTCGGGCATTTCTGGATCCCTTTTTTGTGGGGAGAGGGTCAGGGGAGGGGAGGGAAGTGTGTCTGCATTATCCTTTTTAAACCCATGACTCATACATGTAACCGCTTTTTTTATATTCAATCAATTTACTCAGAACACATGTCAGCGCTTCTCCCTGAAGAACGTCAAAGTCAGATCACCAATCTGATATTCCGTCGTGATTTTGATCTGAGTTATCGTCTTGATTGCCGTCATCTGTGTGCAGATTTCCAAGAAAATATTCAATTTCAGTTTTCACTTGGACTGACTGCTATGATGAATAAGTTTTTAGGTCCTAAAGGGACCAGAGCAGCTCTAACAGGATTCACATCGTTTGTGAGTAAATCTGATGTATTAGACCAGCACAAATTATGTTAATGGCACGTTACAAAATTGGTGACCAAAATAAATGTTGCTTGCCAAAAAAAGTACAAAAACTAATATTAATTCAACCCAAGCTCTGTTCAGTAGTAATCTACTGTTCTTTCATAGGACCCAGTATGATTTACAAAGTAAGTCTTATATGAGGCTTTAGGAATGGAGATGCTGGATTTTTTCCCTGAGAAAAGTCCTGATTTTTAAAATTATTTGAACCCAGTACTGTGGACTTGGAAGGCAAGCATCTTAACCACAAAATTACTAGCTCCACTACTACTAACAAAATGTTTAAAATATGTTGAATGGTAATTTTAAATGGTTTGTTTTTATGTTTTCTTACAAGATTCCAAGACAGTTGCCACCACCAGGACCAGATACAGGCAGCAGACAGTCTTCAACTGATGAGGATGTTGCAGTTGCCATGGTTTCGGGATTAGCTTCACTGTACTCGCGTACATCAGTTGGATTAATATTCGTAGGAGGAATTGTAAGTTTTACCAATCACAAATATTAATATGATAATTATATCTATATTTTATTTTTTAAATCCAGTAATAATAAACAGTATATTGTGTTAATGATGGTATGCATAATAAAGTAGTTTCTCCATACCAAAGTTATTAACAGTTACAGTATTTAAATTATATAATGTGATATTATATAATCCCTGTATATTCTTAAAATCTCTTTTAATTCAAGGTATGGAAATCAGTTGGTTGGCGGGTTCTAGCAGTGGCTGCTGGAATGTATGGCGGAATCTATCTTTATGAAAGACTGACATGGACAAACAAAGCCAAAGAACGTACATTCAAGAGACAATTTGTTGAATATTCGGCAGAAAAACTTCAGCTGGTTGTCAACTTCACTAGCGCAAACTGCAGTCACCAAATACAACAGTAAGAACTGCAGCAATTTTGAAATATGTAATGCATGACCAGTAGCACTAACCCGGGCACACACTGGGATGAGAAATCTGCCTCTGCTCTTTGTAAGCACTCGATGTCACACTGCATCGTCTTATTTGCTAGTGCCATTTTGAGCAGACCATCACTAGAAATTATCCATTGCCTTCTCCATGGAATCCTGTCAGCCAATCACCATCGGAGCAGCATGTGCCTGGCTGGAATTGTACTCAATTATTTTGTTTAAAGCTCTGTTCACACTATGAAGTTTTATGTGACCATAATAATAATAATAATAATAATAATAATAATAATAATAATAATAATGATAATGATAATAATAATAATAATGATAATGATAATAATAATAATATTTATTTGAACTTGCACTTTTACATCAATGGCTCACTTTGAAACACAAAGGTGTATCCGAAACACAAAACTTAAAGACAAATGATTACCATATACATCAAATTACAAGAACAACTAAAACTTAAAACAAACTCAAAACAGTTTAAATTAACCCTTCCTCCCTCCCCACAAACTGAACAAAACTTAACCCCTTATTTTTAGAAACAATATTCTAAGTACCCTTCTTCCCTCCCCAAACAGTATGTGTGATTTGACCATATATGTGCATGGTGATATATTACACAATGTTCGTGTAGTATATCATATTTATGGTGTATTTATTTATTAGGGAATTGTCAAAACCAACAAAAAAACAAAACTTAATAATGTTGTTATGTGCCAAATTTGATATGACCTTATCGCCATGATAATGTCATGTTACATGTTGTGGGTACAGTATATCACATAAATAGTAATATCTGTTTGATATGCCATAGGGTATAAAAATGTAATGACATTGTGGTTACAGTATTAACATGTTGATATGTTTTTTTTATTAGGGAGTTATCAACAACATTTGCTAGGTTGTGCCAGGAAGTAGATACAGCAAAGGAAGAATTGAATAAAGAGATTGTCATCCTCGATGCTGAGAAAAACAAACTAGAAAAACTCATGAATGACTCCAAGTTACTCAGGTAAATAAATGAAGCATAACTCTGTATTTATTAATAGTGGATCTATTGTCAGAAATTCCCCTGTTTATGGGCATGTAACTGTTGAATTAAAAATTATGATGTAATAAAGGGATTATCCAATAATGATTCAATAATATTCCATGGGTGGTGCCAAAATTTGTCTGGGTCTGACGTCCCTGACGAGGATGTAGATGGCTGTGGTCCGGCATTGCTCAAAATGTCTCAGAAGTAGTCCACAGAGCGAACCCCCAAAAACTATAAAAATTTAATGGTTTCCAAGGCATATTTGTTTTTAGAGTCTAGTATTATTTAAAAAATAAATTTAAAAAGGTTTTTTCCCAGACAATTTTTTTTTTCTCCCTGAGTTGAGAGAGGCCATGGCCCCTCGCTGGCACCCCCTACCCCATTGCCACTGCTGTAATATTTTAGTAGGAAAGAGACCTGATGGATTTAAGATCACTCAAAATTATGGCTAAATTTTTGTAAATGTAATTTTGTTTCTTCAAGGAATCGTGCAAACTGGTTGGAGAGTGAATTGACACGATTCATTCGTCAATATCTTGGAAACGGAGACTAAAAAACCTATCAAGTCTATTCAGTTGAACTTCTTGTGGAAAATATCTTATATATACAAACAGTAAATATAGGTATGGATTTCTGAAGATAATTTGTTGTAAGAATGTATTGGATAAAATATATTGGAAGTCAGAAAAATAAGGATAGAGAATAATTTTTAAAGAAGCGTCAGTGTTTTATTTTGTCAAATTGTTTTATAATGAGCTAACATTATACAACTTAATACATTTTTTGGTGGGTAATACTATGAATCCAATTTTGATTGGAGTCAAAAATAAAAAACCCGTAATCTTAATCCAGTTAAAATTGTGTTAAGATTTAGAAGTCTATATAGTGTAATTTAATATACTCTCTCAGTGTACTGACATTTTATTACACCATCAATCAATTTGTTTAAGAATGCAAACAACTGAAATTTATGTTTGATGTAAAGTTTAATTTCTTGCAACCAAATCCTTAATTTTTCTTTAAATAATCCAAAATTATTTCTAGAGAATAAGTTAGGATTTTAAAATAATAATAATAAATAATAATAACTTTATTTAATAAAGCGCAAAACAATATCCACTTAAAATGATCACAGGCACTGTGCAGAATTTTAAAATATACATTTACAAAAAAAAAATCCAAAAAACGCATAAGGAATATACATTAAAAGTTAAAACATAAATTGCTTGCCAATCTATTCTGAATTGTTTAACATACTCATGAATGTATAAGTATGAGGTAAGAATGATATTGAATATGTAGAGGAGCTGTTATCCGAGGTGCTGATTATTCAATGAATAATAATGAAGTTTATATTATAACATTTTCAGTTGATTTAAGTATTAACTTTGTTCATTTTTTTAATGTTTAGAGTGCAATATATGTGTGTTGTGATATGTTTGTAGTGATATGTTGCTCTGGAATAGTGGTCAAAATGTATATATCTTGAGGACTTATTTGTGATTCTAGTGTATAAATTAACTGGGTCATAATAAACATATTTTTGCCTTGCTACACCAAGTCCTCATACCATATGTCACACTAGATGAAATAGCTTAGCAGGAAACAGTCAATTGGCCAATTAAATATTAAATCTTGTCATCAGAAGTGATGTGATTGACTGTAAATTTCAAAGCGTGAAGAACTATCAATTTAGAATGCAATGTACAATGCTTATATTGAGAAAAACTCAGGGGTACCAAGTCTACAGCAAGTCATCCCAGAAACTACCCAACTCGGCAAATTTATGATGTTTGCATGTTTTTACTACTGTATTATCAGTTTTCTCACTGAAGTCAGTGCCGATGGGTATCACCACACACAGCAAAATTAGATGTGTTTAAGGCTCGTTTAACCAGATCTCCTGGAAGTTGGAGTGCCAGGCCAGGCTAGGCCAGGCCAGGCTGTGGGAGTCAATCTCGATTTCTGAGAGACTTAAGCCAGTCACTCACTGCGCACGACGTTCGTTGGCCAACACGATTCTATGAAGAATGCAGCGAGACGATGTGCGCACAACGGATCGTTTTTAATGATGATCCGTTCAGACTGCTGCTGACAATCAGCAGACGGCGTTGTGTCGTTAATCGGTCACAGGGAGCGGAGTTGGATTCGGTTATACGACCGTCGCATGGCGCAGAGAGTGCCTGGCTTTGGTGACTTGTGTGAGATTTGGGACTCCAATAATAATAATAATATTATTTCTATTATTATTATATTTTGTTATTTTTGTTATTATTAGGGTTGATATCGTATTACGTATTATTTAGAATTCATCATCCATTTTAAAAGTGTATAGTATAATACTGTAGGTCATAAAAAAAATATATCAACTGATGCTAATAAGAAAGAAGAAGAGCGCTTTAAAGGTTTTAGTCTAATTCTGAATGTTGAATTGTTTCAAGATGAATCCATATGTTCTGTCTTGCTGTTCACTTGCCACAAATGCTTGGGAAAAAAGCTAATAAAGTCATATTGTAAAGATCATTATTCTTGTGTATGTGATTAATGTATTACTATTGGTTGCTTAACTTTGAAATTTCTGGGGAAAATTCTATCAGGATCCCAATTACTCTTTAAAGATTAAATTCCTCGTTTTCGTTCATTCAATAAACGTGTGATAATGATGAGTGGCCTATCTACTACTACTACTAGCATTGAAAGGTAGGGTAGGGGGTGGTCAGGGTTGTGTAGCTGGCCATTGAGGTGGTATTTAAGTGATAATTGCTTAGAAAATGTCCAGAGAGTGAGTGCACAAATATGTTAAGGCATGTTATTTACCCTCGATCTCAATTCCCTTAGATACTTCACAGATATAACACCAAGCTGCTATACTGTTGTTATTCTCTGTACATCTGGAAGAACTTTTCGCTACAACTATAGCGCCCCCTTCAGGAACATTGAATATCAAACCCATTCTTGCATTAATAATATTAAAAGTTTCTTTTTCCATTGACCAATTAAAAACAAGCAATTATAAAAATTTGTTCATTGAATCGTGTTCATTGAGCTTGATCGTGTGGGAAATAAGACTAAGATTAACTAACAACGATTAAATAAAATATTTCACTTTTTAGAGAAAACCGTCCCAAATTAATACATTATTTACATTTACCCATGTTTCCTGTTGAAAATGTTGTTTAACATATTATATAGCGCAAAATGAATACTTTTTTTCACAGTGCTGTATTTAATTATGAATAAAAAATACTATAATAATAATTACATTTCTATAAATCGTGTCTATTAATATTTTACTTATAGGTCCAATAATAATTCATTAATAATTATCAATATAATTAATCTTAATTGTGTTTATTTAGTGTTCACTAGCTTTTTGGCGAATTCCCACATTCATAATCCGCATATTATTTTTATTATAAAGGGCAAAACAAATGTTATTTTGCTTCCATAGTCTATGTTCACACGAGTGTGATAACTGTGAGAAAAACATGACAAGTTGCCTTCTGCCCTTACTTCGTAACCTTGGACCTCGCACGTCGTTGCACAGCAACCAATGAAGCGCTCGCTCAACCAGAATACCTATATCGTTGATCAAATTAAATACATTTATTTTCAAATTTCATATGCAAACGTAGACAACAATAAGCGGCATTCCCTGCAGACGAACAGCCAAACAGGCAATGCATTCAGGCGGAATGGAAGCCGACAATCTATGGCGTCAGGCGCTCTCAGACCCCTACAGGCTCACAATAAATTGATACAAAGAGAGCGCTTGAATTAGGCCTATGTTGAGATGCACTCTGCTGTTTCCTATACGATCAACGTGCTGCGCTAGTCCAAGGACAGACCTATATCCAGCCTCAACGCTTTAGCAC